CCGCCAGGGGGCAGCCAGCCGCTCTAGCAGGTGTCTCGGTTGTAATATACGTCATCAGGAGGTGACCCGATTGCTGCGACGCGCGCGGAGCGGCGCGGGGGTACAGAGACGAGCGCCGGCGGCGGCCGGGAGCGGGGCGCGCGGGCTACTCAGGTGGGTGCTGTGGGGCCTGCGGCGGCCCCTCGCGGTGCCAGGGTGCCCGCGCCGGGCTAGTTCTGGCACGGTCCGCTGCCCACTCCTGACACCTGCCCGAGCGGGGCGGGGGGTGGTGCTGAGGGTCATAGAAGAGGAGGCGGCAGCGGCGGAGCTGCTTCTGCCCTCAGTGCTGCGGAGCCTGGAGTGGGCGTCGGTGTGTGCGGGTCTCGGGCTGCCGCTCGGAGCCCCGCAGCCGGGACCGCTCTCGCTGCCTGGCGGGGACCAGTGTTGTGGCCGCCCCCTTGACTCTCCTTTCCAAACGCCGCGTGTTTTGCTTCCAGAGCGTTTCTCGTCCTGGTGTACCTGCCTGAAGAAATGACTACCCAGGTAAAGATGTAACTAACCCGACTCGCTTCTGGCTGGGGGTAGGGGGGCAGTGTTGACCACTTGTATAACAGATGCTCTTCTTTCCCGTTTCAGTACAGCATTCTCTTCAAGCAAGAGCAAGGTAAGAGAGACCCATGGGCTTTTAGGCCATCCAGTTTTCTTACATAAAATTCTGATTTCCCTGAGAATTTATGTAACCAAAGAAACTCATGTAAAGTTTCAGGTGACATTCTTGCCAAGTCTGGATTTTGAGTGGATTTAAAAAACTCTCTAGCAGGATTTAAACTCAGGTGATGGGATGTGGCTGTAATGATGCAGCATTAGCCTTTGTTAACTTCAGTGAGTTTATATTTAGCCTCATGAAAACATTTTTCAAGCTGCCTTACTCTCTTCTTGCCTGGTTCAGGTACACTTGCAAATCCATGTATTCCCAAGAAAAGTAAAGCCCATCCCATTATCCACTTGGCTGATTACTGTAATCGTAGTGCTCTATTCTGTGGTGCCATAGCATCTTTCTTCACAATCCTTTACTTTCCTGAGCAAGTTCCAACTGCAGAAAATGTCCTACTTCATTCCTGACAGCTTTTCAATGCTCTTGTGGAGCTATTTATACTGACAGTTCATCTCGCAAGAAATTTAGAGCCAGTAAATAAATGAAGTGAATTACTTTCTCTGTTCTTTATTTCATCTTGAATCTAATTATTTTTAATATCCTTTTTGTGGGTTTTGTTGCTTTATAAACTGCTTCAAGATATTGTCTAATATTGTGTTAGCAATTTTCCCACTCTTATGTGGCCATAAAATAGGTATATTTTTGGCATGCCATAATTTTAGGTTTAACTGTGAAGCTACAACATCTATTGTCTGATTCAGGACACTGATATAGGTTTCCTGAGGCAGGAAATAAAAACAAGCAACTATTGTGGATAAATATATCTGCTAGATTTGAAGAGATAGTAGGTCTTTTTCCCTAATGTTAATGCTTTCTTTCAGCTCATGATGATGCCATCTGGTCAGTTGCATGGGGAAAGAATAAGAAAGATGGTTCTGAAACAGTAATCTCAGGGTCCTTAGATGATTTAGTGAAAGTCTGGAAATGGTAAGTGAGGTGCTCCGTAAGAACTAATTTAAAAATAAAAAACCCCCCCAGTGTAGACTACCTTGCCAAACAGTATTTTTCCCCCTCCCTTATTCTCAAGAACACCAGTATTGGTGTACTGCAGGGAACCTCTATGATGGAACTTAGTGCCATTCTGTTATTTGAGCCTGTTTTCAGTGGTGCGTTCTTAGTCAGTAACTGACAGCATCCTGATGTATGTTGAGAATTTGACTTTTCTAAAATGCTTAAGAATCAAAATACACTGGGATATTGTCCCTTACTAACAGGATGAATGACAAATCATGTTGTTTTAAAAAATTATTGACAAAATACCCTTGTCTTTGGAAGTTAAATAGAAGGAAGACCTAATGCAAAAGACTGCAAAAATAAAAATAATGCTTCCATTTTAAAGAGCTTCTTACAAGTCATTTATTATTTAGAGAAGTTTTCTCTTCATGAATTAACGCTTCATTGCAGCTATTTTTTTGAAAAGAGAACAATCGTTTTGCTAAAATAGTGCTTGGAGGGGGATATGCGCCCTCTACCTCCTCCTTACTCCGTTATAGGTTTTGAAAGCAGGTTGTGCTTAGCTGCCTGCCTTTGTCACTTGCAGGGTGGTATAGATTTTAAGTTGAAGGTGTGTTTAGTACTTGAAACTCCTCTTAACTAGTGTTTTATTTCCTTTCAACAAAAGGAATGATGAAAAATTAGACCTACAGTGGACTTTAGAGGGTCATCAACTGGGTGTGGTGTCCGTGGATATCAGCCACACTGGTTCCATTGCAGCATCCAGTTCCCTCGATGCTCATATTCGCCTTTGGGATTTAGAAACTGGCAAACAAATCAAGTCAATAGATGCTGGTCCTGGTAAGATCCCTGTGTTCATTTGGTAACCTGTAATTTCTGCAATGCATGTACTTTACATATAGTATACAATTAGCGGGCACTACACATGATATAGTAGTTCTCTTTGTAAAACTGCAGCACCATGTACATTATTTGATGGCAGCTACTCTGTTGATTTAAGGTAAATTGATATAGAACTATTTTAAACTAAGTCCATTCATGAGAGATTGCACTGATATATCAGTCTTTTTAAAAGTTGATTGTAGTTAAATTAGCATAATTTACAGAGGCAGGCAAGGTTTCTATCTAATCTTGTTTGTGTTACTTGCATGCTACCTCATTGAAAGGTCAGTTAGTGGTAAAGTGACTCATTCAGGGTGTAGAGAGAAGTGCAGTTCTCCACTGTAACTGAGAATGCTTTGCAGGAAGCGTTCTGAGTTGCAACAGTCTCTTGGAACAAACGGAAGTTCACTGTTGGCTCGCTGAGGGGAGGGAAATCTAGCTGCTGGTTGCAACATGCAGCCAGTTTTCCTCTAGGAACAGCCCCTGTGCCCTGCTAGGCTGCAAAGTTTTCAATGGGAATGGAGGGAGTTCATTCTAGGGGTTCCCCATCCAGCACTAGAGGGTGGGGTAGGGGAATTGGAGCCCCACACCTTAGCGGGGGAGGCAAGGGGACTCCAATGTACCTCCAGCAAGGGCTGAATACCCCCCAGTGTGCATTCCCTCTGCCTCTTTTTTCTCCCCTGCTTCCCATTCTGAAAACAGCTTGAGACTGGCAGGCAGCACAGACAGAAGTTACAGAAGACTGTTTTGAAATGGGTGAAAATTGTCACTTCTGTCTGTGCCCTTAGTTGAGGATGCATAAAGTGAAGTAAAAGTCAGTTTGCTGTTTCACATATGTATGAATCCAAGTATTGTTAATCAGAATGTGGCAATGGAAGAATGACCATTTAAACCCAGTGATACACATTAAGACTATTGATGTGCTAGTGTAGTGCATCCTCCTTCTACACACTTGATCTTACTGGAAACTTGCAATGTAACTCTTCTCATTGGGCCAAATATAATTTGTTTATGTGAATAATCCTACAAAAATAAATATTATTGGCTAAGAAATATAATCAATATATACTGTATTAAGTATTCTCTTTCTCTCTCAATACAGTTGATGCCTGGTCCTTGGCTTTTTCACCAGACTCCCAATATCTTGCAACAGGAAGTCATGTGGGAAAAGTAAATATTTTTGGTGTTGAGACTGGAAAAAAAGAATACTCCCTGGACACTAGAGGAAAATTCATCCTTAGCATTGCATATGTAAGAGACCTTAATTGATATTCTCTTTTATTATAGTATCATCAGTGCATTCTAGTGTAAATCAAACTTTCAGATTCTGTATTAGCCATTTTAACAAGAACTTAAAAAAAATAAAGACTTCCTTCTAAACATTTAATCACTAATTTCCTATACTGAACATTGCACCTATATTTGTAACCTTCATTGACCTTTCCTCTATGCATGCTGGTATTTGCTATAGCAGATCCTCTGCTAAAATTTATCCAATGTTGTGGCAATGCTTTATGGAAACATACACTTCAGTATGCTTGCACTTCAAGCAAAGACACCAAAATGATTAGATTACCCCTTAAATCTGAGTCCCCATAAGGTGGTGACCTTACTGATGGTAAAACTGAAATTTCATAAGATAAACGAGTTCTCCAAAGGGACAGAGAGAGAAATCTGAAATTCAAATAAAACACAACCCTACAGTCCCTTTTTAAAATAAATGTTTGCAATAGAAAACCCCTCATTACTACAGTAAACTGGAATGAATGATGCACCTAGGGTAGGAATAATCATACTTTTAAGAGCTTTAATTTCAAGCTGTATGATGATCTTTAACATCAGGAGAATGAAATGCCTGAAGAATAAAATTCCTAATATACACAAAAGTAAGATCCATTTGAAAAATAGAGTCCACACTGTTAAATATCTTGCCTTGCAGGCTGTCTTGATCTGTTTCTCTTCTTCACTCTTCCAGTATAAAATGTTAATATGATTATTTGTTAAATGTATAATGTGTATATTGTTGCAGAGTCCAGATGGAAAATATTTAGCGAGTGGAGCAATAGATGGCATTATCAATATTTTTGATATTGCAACTGGAAAACTTCTGCACACGCTAGAAGGTAAATACTTTGGAATGTTTGTAAGCTGCAGGTTATAGATCCATTCTTGATTTAAAGTGTTATGAAATGCTTGATCACTGTGTAATGAACTGAAATGTCAAGATAATTTTATTCCTGTCTTGGTTATTCATGCACAAGGATACCCCAATAGCTCTGTTTCCAAACCAGTGTCCTTTTATAGATCTATTCTGATTGAAGCACTGTCCCTTTCTTTGTAAATGTCACTGTCTAACAGTTAAAGTGTCCATAAATCCAGTTGTTAATCTCAGCATGTGTATAGGTGACAGAGTAGTTACCAACTGACTATGCCGATTCTCAATTTCAGGCCATGCAATGCCCATTCGCTCACTGACATTTTCTCCAGATTCCCAGCTACTTGTCACAGCTTCAGATGATGGATATATCAAAATTTATGATGTGTAAGTTATCATTTCACAAGATGCGCCTGATGGAAAAATTAATATTCTAAGAAATTTTTTTGAACTTTTAACATTTTGGAGGGTCTCTTCTTTTTAGCTTAGTAGTTACAGATGCATTGTTTTATAGTTAATAAAGCATCACAGAGTTAGATTCTTTAAAAAGGTGCAATGGTACATGGCAGACGTGGCTTAAACTGATGGCTTCTACATATATTGGGCGGGGGGGGGTGTGCGCACGCGCGCACCAGCCTTCAGCTTGCTCTTGTCTGGACTCTTGAGGTTTCCACTGCATGTTTAAGATGTTCTGTTTCGTTCGCAGCGTTTGCCCTTTATGCTCCAGTGACACTTGGTCTCTTTTATGCTGCCCTCCTGTTCAGTGATCTGTTGCTCTCCTGACTCATCTGGGCTCTCTCTTCTCATCTCTCCTTCTAGTGAAATTCCTTTCCAAATCACTATGCTCTGATCTTATAACTAAGTCGAGATTTACGCTGTAATCCTCACTGCCTTTCGCTTAGACATCCTGATTCTGTCACCTGCAGAAGGAGAGGCTCGGTCTTGAATTACAGTGACCTCAGTCACAGAAATTTGTAGACAATAAGGTACATTCCTTAGTTTCATAGTTGGTAGGGTTGGAAGGG